CATATGGAATATGGGTTAAAAAATAAAAAAAGAAATGAGCATGATTCAAGAGTAATGCTAATACATAGAATACATTTTAATACTGTGAAGATGTTTAAGACTGAAATTCTTGTACAGCACCACAGATCTGCAGATGGTGTATTATTCAGTTAATTAGAATTAATTAGTGCAATGATAGAAACAAAATACAAAATTGTATTAAACATTGTATTATGGAGTATTTTGAGTTACCAACCTCAAATAAAAGATTCAAACTACTATTACTCCACCAGGGCTGCCCTTTGTCACCGGTTCTGTACATAACTTTCATGGACAGAATTTCTAGGTGCAGCTGAGTGGTGGAGGGTGTCAGATTCGGTGACAGGAGGATCTCATCTCTGCTTTTTGCGGATGACGTGGTCCTCCTAGCCCCATTGAACAGTGACCTCCGGCTCTTGCTGGGACGGTTCACAGCTGAGTGTGAAGCAGCTGGGATGAAAATCAGCATCTCCAAGTCTGAGACCATGGTCCTCAGCAGGAAAAGGGTGGATTGCCCTCTCCAGGTCGGGGGGGAGGTCCTGCCTCAGGAGTTTAAGTATCTCGGGATCTTGTTCACGAGTGAGGGTAGGATGGAGCGGGAGATTGACAGGCGGATTGGGGCGGCGTCAGCAGTGATGCAGGCACTTAACCGGTCCGTTGTGGTGAAGAGGGAGCTTAGCCAGAAAGCGAAGCTCTTGATTTACCGGTTGATCTACGTTCCAACCCTCACCTCTGGTCACGAGCTCTGGGTAGTGACCGAAAGAACGAGATTGTGAGTACAAGCGGCCGAAATGAGTTTCCTCCGCAGGGTGGCTGGGCTCAGCCTTAGAGATAGGGTGAGGAGCTTNCAACGGATAAGGAAAAACTGTTAAAAAAAAAAAAAGAAACCACAGGGAGAGCAATTGAGGAGGGATCCCTCTTCCAGGACGGACAGACATGCAATAGATGTTGTACAAAACAGATCAACATAATAAATTAACAGTAATCCGTATGACACAAGGAGACAGAAAGAGAGACAGAGACAGAGAGAGATGGAGGATAGATGACAGTAGCTTACAACAACTTTAATGAAAGTAATTATATTATAATCATAGTTCTGGTTACAGTGGTACAATATGTTGAAAGTACATATTAATATCTGATAGTGTACATATGTGACAATAATCATATGTGTATAATAACAGTAGAAGTATGACTAATGATGACAACAGCAGCAGGAGGCATCTGGCAGGACCACGGCAGCAGCACAACCATACACGTCACACTATCCAGGCACCGCTGCAATACGAGTTAACCTGCCAGACAGTGGAGCACAAAGGCTCTGGAGTTTGTGCAGCAATGCATGATCCTCCCTCCACCAAAAATTGTCAATCCACCATAGTCGTCATTTGATTTTTAAATCTCACCCTTTGATGTTTGAAAGTTAAATTATAAGAGTGAAGATGAAACACTGGAAATGAAAAAAGCCTCAGTTTTTCACTCTTGTTGTGCATGCTGATTAGCTGGTGCAAAGGTTTATGGTTTGGCCAAATTTTGAATGAGACATAGAATAAAGTGATTTTGATGAAATATCACAATTCTAAGTTCTGATTTAGTCATGTTTTTTTCTGATGGAAGTCTGACAGTATTTGGACACACAATGTGTCCAAGAACCATCAGAAATTTGACAATCTATCAAAACGTTCTGTCTAAATAGTTTCTGGCCATAATAAATGGTGTGATTTTGCTGATTTTGCCATGTTTTCTTAAAAAAAAAAAAAAAAAACACCAGTAAAATAAATACAAATTACAATGATTTAATTGCAAATGCCAGTCCCCTATCCAATCCAATCCAATCCAATCCAATCCAACTTTATTTGTAAAGCACTTTAAAACAACCACAGAGTACCAAAGTGTTGTACAGAAGAATAAATAAAAGTAAAAATAAAGTAAAAAAAAAAGTAAAAAGTAAAATAAATTAAAAAACATTTGTAAAAAGTAACAGCTATATAATAAAAACAAACAATACAATACAATAAAATAAAACAAACAATAAAACAAAATAAAATCAACATCTTACAGAGTGTCAAAGGCCAGGGAGAAGAGATGGGTTTTAAGAAGAGATTTAAAAATAGACAGAGAAGACGCCTGTCTAATGTGCAGAGGCAGATTGTTCCACATTTTAGGAGCTGCCACAGCGAAAGCACGGTCCCCTCTGAGCTTGCGCTTAGTTTTTGGCCCACTCAGGAGCAGCTGATCAGCTGACCTGAGAGAGCGGGTAGGTGAATACATATGCAGCAGCTCAGAGAGGTAGGGTGGGGCAAGACCATTTAGGGATGTAAAAGCAAATAAAATAATTTTAAAATGTATCCTAAAGTGTATGGGCAGCCAGTGGAGTGAGGCTAAAATGGGGGAAATGTGGTCATGTTTACGTGTGCCAGTTAAAAGACGCACAGCAGCGTTCTGAACCATCCGGAGAAGATTGATGGAGGACCCACTAATCCCCACATAAAGTGCATTACAGTAATCCAGCCGAGTGGTGATAAAGACATGGATTACTGTCTCAAATTGCTGCCTTGGAAGAATTGGCTTTATTTTGGCAAGCTGCCTCAGTTGGAAAAAGCTTGATTTAACGACTGCCTTGATCTGATTGTCGAGCCACAGAGGGTCTCAGTGGTGCCACCAAAAACCATCACTTCTGTCTTCTTTTTGTTAAAATTTAAAAAGTTCAGAGCCATCCAGGCTTTTATGTCGTCAAGACACTTAAGTAACGGACTGACAGAGTATGCTTTATTCTTTTTAAGAGGCATATAAATCTGAGTATCATCTGCATAGCAGTGAAATAAAATACCATGCTTTCTCAGTATGGAACCAAGCGGGAGCAAGTACAGAGAGAAGAGAAGAGGGCCTAGGACTGAGTCCTGTGGGACACCACACGGCAGAGGAGCAGAGGAGGATACAGAGTCACCAAGGCTCACACAAAAAGTTCGATCTGCCCAGTATGACCTGAACCACTCCAGTGCTATGCAACTGATGTCCACCCACTATTCCAAACGTGAGATCAAGATATCATGGTCCACTGTGTCAAAAGCAGCAGTTAAGTCTAAAAGTACAAGAATAACAGTCACTGGAATCAGAAGCTAAAAAGATATCATTAAAAACTCTTAAAAGCACTGATTCTGTGCTGTGCAATGTTTTAAAACCGGATTGGAAAACCTTGAGAATATCGTGCTCTTCCAGGAAGGACATTAATTGACTGTAGACAACCTTTTCATTGATTTTTGAAAGGAAAGGCAGTTTGGAAATAGGCCTGTAATTAGCCAGAACTGAAGAATCTAGACCTGTTTTTTTAATTAGAGGTTGCACTACTGCATGTTTAAAATTTTCAGGGACCACACCTGAGGAAAGACTGCTGTTAATAACTGCAAGCACAGATGACCAAAATAAAAAAAATCATAAGTCCCTACCCAGTCCTTAAAAATTATTTGACATGCCTCCCATTTTTTGCATTACCCCCTAACCTGCATAAATAACGAACAGTCCCTAAATAACAGAAAAGTCGAGGAAGAAGATTTTTAGAGTAAAGATTTACCTCTAGGCATTTACTAACTGAATTTTATCAGATGATTAAAGGGATTTTCAGAACAGAGTCTTTTATCAGAAAATAACTGAGATTAATCTGGAGACAGTTTCTATACCAGGTCAGTAATGACAGGCGTCACATTTTTCAGTAAGTGAACATGGCACACGTTTTCTCAAAAACTGTTAATAATTTATTTCATATACTAAAATCAAACATTAAATTCCAAAAGGCTGTAAGAATGAATTTACATAAGTCATGTAAAGTTGTCTGATATTTCTATATGCCTGCCTCATATGCCTACTTTAAACAAGCCCACACAATCACCATATCAAATATGCGGATTTTACTTTGTGAGTTACTCCTGAAGCAGTCTGTCAAAAATTAGCTTATGAAGCTGCTTCCAGTGACTTTGATCAATCACGTTATGTTTACCTGAGTAGTGACTACAAAGGTTAACTCAAGGGTGTAAGATTTAGGGAGATTCAGTGGTGAGGATTGCAGTTTGCAACCAACTGAAACTTCTCCCGGTTAGAATTCCCTCAGTGTTCATTGTTCAGGAGGTTTTTACTGGGAGCCAAATCATCCGCAGAGGTCTCCTCCTCTCCAAAACAAACAGGCCAAAAAAGTGATGCTGTACATACAGTAAGCGCCACTATAATTGCATAGCTTTGTTCAGTCACATTTATGTAACGTCACAGCTCAATGGGTTAGATAAAAATTAATCTATAACATATTCTCTCAGCTGACATCCTTTATCACCCGTAGACTGAAATTTACTTTCAAATGACACTATTTGGAGCTGTAAAAGGTGCTTTTAAGGTGAAACTCATGATGAAAACTGGTTCTGACCAGGTCTGCAGCAGAAGTTCCCATGGTGATGTACTGCAGTTAAAAGAGAGCAACCATCATAGGATGGAGATTTCTGACTTTGGACTAAACATATTTTACTAACCCACTGATAATGCCTCATGGTACAGTCCCTCAGGTGATTAAAACAGCAGATTCATGTTACAAATGCGTGTGTTTTTTTGATGTAGCTCACTGGAGATGTGCTTATAATTATAGTGGCCGACACGGAAACACAATGCAAATGGCCCTATCTAAAGCCAGTGTTTGGTTTATTTGTTCTGAGCTACTGCAGAACAACATGACTCTGCAACATGGTGATCTCCATCATATGATGATCTGCTCCCTATGTAAATACAAACAGATCATTTTAATATCAGGAAAACGCAGCAATTCTTTTTTTCAGCTGATTCTACACTAAAGAAAACATACTTATTATATTATATTATATTCAGTTTCTGTTAATATATCCACCTACACTAGTCAAGTCAAACTTTAAGTCCTACAAAGTCATCTTTGTAAGTTTTGAAAAAAAAAAAGAAAAGGAAAGGAAACCAGAAATTTGAATTTGACTTTTATTTCAATTCAGACTTAAATAAAAATAGCTTTTAAATATAGCTACATTTTTATTAATGCATACACAGGAGGGGAGCTCCTGTGAAGAAGAACTGCAGTAACATCCCTGTCATGAACCTGACATACTGTGTACAGATCTCTCGTGATGTAGAATCTTAACTGGCTATAATCCACCTGCACATGAGTTCCACTCTGACATGGTGCAAACTATTGTGAATAGATATAGTGACTGATGTTTACTGTCCAATGTGTTACAAATTATCTTCACTTCCACCTAATATGAGTCCCAGCTCATACTAATTCAAATAAGAATTAAAATGACAAAAGACTATAGTGTTCTAAATAAACACAAGAGATGACAGATCCAGAGCAGTCAAAGGTAATCCCTCACAGTGGTACATTATCTACAACATATTATAGAGATGGAGCACATACAAGTCATACAGTATGTTTTCGTGGTAAATATTTTTAGTAGACACCTGACACCAGTGTTTGCTTTAAACAAATGCCTCAAAAAGGGAGGCAACACAGAGCAAAAAATGTTTCTGGGTACAGCAATAATGCTTCAGCTTCATACGCAGAATATAGAACTTCACCCAGTTACTCCTAAGTATCATAGATACATACTCGTGTTTACAAAAATATCTATTGTAAAGCTCAATATATTCTCAACATGATGTTAACCAAAGGCTGTTTGAGAATTCATCATTCCTATTATTTTAATATTTGACGTGTTTTCTCTGATTCTTGCCTGCTCTCTATCCTCTGCTTCACCACAGGTCAGGCTCTACCCAGACGATCTTCTTCTGCTCCTCCCAGATGATGGTGCGTAGGGTGGTCAGCAGGGAGGCCTGGTCACACCAGGAGTCTGGAGCCACGCTGTGATACAGACACGGCAGCTTGTCCAGCAGAGGCTCCTCACTTCTGGAACATGCCAACAGCTGCTCCTCTGATTGGCTGTGACGCTGCAGCTTTGACCTGGAAGCGTCAGAAGAATAAATAAATTTCAATTTTGGATCTGTTTTCTTTGTTTGTTGTTGGTTTGGTTGGAGATTTTTGTTCATAAATATAGACAATGTGACATCATATCAGTATATTTATTTACAGCTACAATTTAGCTTGGTATAACACAGTTATTCTGTTCTCTAAAACATCAACACTGAACATCTCGTTTTGCCCTAGACATAGTTTGAACTGTAAACAAAGAGAAATCCTCATAGAAGAGCCAGAGATACCAGTTTTTCCAGTGCATGAGCATGAATAGACCAGAACAAACTGCAGCCACAAGGGGACGTCACTTTGTTTTGTTTTGTTTTTCTTTCTTTTTTGTTTGTTTGTTTTGTTTTTGCTTTGGTGGAAAAACTAAATCAAATTCAATTCAATTTTTTTTTTAATAAAGCCCAATATCACAAATCACAATTTGCCTCAGAGGGCGTTACAGCATATGACATCCCTCTTTCTTTGGACCCTCACAGTGGATAAGGAAAAAGTCTCCAGAAAAACCCTTTAACAGGGCTAAAAATGGTAGAAACCTCAGGAAGAGCAACTGAGGAGGGATCCCTCTTCCAGGACTGAAAGATATGCATCATCATGCAAATGATGCATGCAAATTTAAGTCAGAAACTGATCTTGTGTAGCAGTGCATTAAAAGGCGGATTATTACTTTGAAGTGGAGCATTTCATACAAATCGTTTTAGAGGATTCATGTTAAAAGGAGGGAGGGAGGTTGCAGAACTGCATCTTCTTCTGTGTGAATGTGAATGGCCATCTAGAGCCAGTCACTGTGTTTACATGACATTAAAGAAAATCAATTTATTGTGTTAGTCCGACTAAAACCAGACTTTTTTTTTTTAAGATATTTTTTGGGGGCTTTTTTTAGCCTTTAATGGATAGGACAGACAAGCGTGAAGGGGGGGAGAGAGAGGGAGTGACATGCAGCAAAGGGCCTTTTGAAATACACATAAACATGTTAGTCTGACTGTAAATTGAATTTCTCAAAGTCGGACTAATACACCCAGATAATGCATTTGGAAGTTAAATTACTCCTGCATGTATACAGTCAATCAGACCCAAACTTGCTGAGGCGCACTGCACACGCTCTGCTGTGTCCGCCCCAGGCTTTGAACCAGAAGTTAAATAGCACTGAATGCGTAACAGAAGAAGAAACAGGTGACAACATGATCAAATCTACATCCAGAGCTGTGCATTTTTGGATGGACAAGGAGACACAGTTCAGGCTATGTCTCCTTGTACAGAGCTGTGAAGCTGTCCACCATGATACCAGTTTGCTGCCAGCTAAAAGTAGCTAACATGTTTGTTGATTGTTTGGTTTGTGACATAATAGATCAACTAGAAAAAGGTCCAATAATAACAAGCTGAAAGGGGACATATCACCACCTATCATAGCGTAGTCAGACATACCTACAGTAGGTCAATAAATCGATTGTAACTGCAGTTACACTTAACTTTGGTCTTTCTGTTCTGAGCCACTGTAGAAACAACAAGACGGACTCCATGGGAAAGGACTGCTCCGTATGTAGAACAGTTCAGTTTAAGGTAATGCAGAGAACAACGATTCTTTCAGGTGATTATAAAGTGATGAAAAGATAGCTATGAATATTATATACCATTTCTGCCAATATATCCCCTAAATCCTACACACCTTTAAGGAAATAACTATGTGTTTCTAGAAGATGGAAACTATGGCAGTTATCAGTGAGGCCATCAAGTTTGACCCGTGGAAACATTTCCATGCTTAGAGTTATATCTAAATGTGATATCAGAGTCATGAGCAACAGGGCAAGCTCTATCAACATGTACAAAGAAGTAGGAGGAGAGTTTACCTCAGTTTCCGTGCACTTCGTGCAGACTGGCCAATGAAGATTATGATGGGGAAGATCTCGGCCCGGTGCAGACGACGCACGCAGTCCAGCCCCAACGGCAGCACGCAGTGAATCCCCTGTAGGATGAGGAGAACAACATATGGAATATGGGTTAAAAAATAAAAAAAGAAATGAGCATGATTCAAGAGTAATGCTAATACATAGAATACATTTTAATACTGTGAAGATGTTTAAGACTGAAATTCTTGTACAGCACCACAGATCTGCAGATGGTGTATTATTCAGTTAATTAGAATTAATTAGTGCAATGATAGAAACAAAATACAAAATTGTATTAAACATTGTATTATGGAGTATTTTGAGTTACCAACCTCAAATAAAAGATTCAAACTACTATTACTCCACCAGGGCTGCCCTTTGTCACCGGTTCTGTACATAACTTTCATGGACAGAATTTCTAGGTGCAGCTGAGTGGTGGAGGGTGTCAGATTCGGTGACAGGAGGATCTCATCTCTGCTTTTTGCGGATGACGTGGTCCTCCTAGCCCCATTGAACAGTGACCTCCGGCTCTTGCTGGGACGGTTCACAGCTGAGTGTGAAGCAGCTGGGATGAAAATCAGCATCTCCAAGTCTGAGACCATGGTCCTCAGCAGGAAAAGGGTGGATTGCCCTCTCCAGGTCGGGGGGGAGGTCCTGCCTCAGGAGTTTAAGTATCTCGGGATCTTGTTCACGAGTGAGGGTAGGATGGAGCGGGAGATTGACAGGCGGATTGGGGCGGCGTCAGCAGTGATGCAGGCACTTAACCGGTCCGTTGTGGTGAAGAGGGAGCTTAGCCAGAAAGCGAAGCTCTTGATTTACCGGTTGATCTACGTTCCAACCCTCACCTCTGGTCACGAGCTCTGGGTAGTGACCGAAAGAACGAGATTGTGAGTACAAGCGGCCGAAATGAGTTTCCTCCGCAGGGTGGCTGGGCTCAGCCTTAGAGATAGGGTGAGGAGCTTGGACATCCGGGGGGACTCGGAGTAGAGCCGCTGCTCCTCCACATCGAGAGGAGCCAGTTGAGGTGGTTCGGGCATCTGGTAAGGATGCCTTCCGGATGCCTCCCTTGGGAGGTGTTTTGGGCATGTCCAACCGGGAGGAGACCTCGGGGCCGCCCCAGGACACGCTGGAGGGAATACATAACCCAGCTGGACTGGGAACACCTCAGGGTTCCCACAGAAGAGCTGAAGAAAGTGGCTGGGGAGAGGACTGTCTGGGCTTCTTTGCTGAGGCTGCTGCCCCCGAGACCCGGACTCGGATAAGTGGAGGACGATGAGTATGGGGGACGAGTACCAACTACTAAAATGAGTTTTCGTGTTGAATGTTTTACCTTTTTCATGATTTTCTCCACACTCTGCAGGGTGTAGCAGCAATTTCTTCCCTGCTCGCACTCCTCCAGGATCTCAGACCTCTGCAGCTGGGCTGCGTGCTCGCTGGCACTCAGCACCTCTGTAGGGCAGAATGGTGGGGAGGGAGAATCAGAGAGGTGAGGCATGAAGTATTTTCATCAATATAAATCAAACTCTGTATTAAGATATGGCATCTTTACCTTTAGTTGTTACATTATCTTTAAATCATTTGGTATATTATCTGAACATTTATGAGTTGTTTTCCCTCTGCATGTCATTTCTTTTTGTTCTCTTGAGTCCTTATTTAATGATCAGATTTCCCCACAAAGATCATTAAAGTTTGACCTTATCATTGCAGGGAACATAGGCAAACATTTATTGTCTTAGCATCTAGCAGTCTCTATCATGTTTATTACTGTTTATTCATCAAACTTATTTCCTTCCTAGTCTGCAGCAACAAACATTTGATGTGTCAAGTCAAACAAACTTATCTGTCAGCACAGGAAAGTGCTTCCTCCTCTCTATCTAAAAATGTGTCTTCAATGGCAAATACACCAGTGGAAACAGATACAAAATATAAATGCACTGGGTTTCATTTCAGCAACAACACTGTATTTCTTACCAGGCTCACAGAGCTGGAAGCCCTGCCAGTCTGCCATCTTCTTGTTCAAGATGTTTCCCAGGATGGTGGGCAGCAGCAGGACAGGCCTGCAGATGGGTGGGAAGTGTGGGGTGACAAGGCTGTAGGGCATCAGGGTGAGACAACTTTTGGGTGCAGATGCATCACCTGTGAAGAAAATGATACACATTGTGAGAAAAGTAATTTTTTTTCGTGAAAAAACATCCAAAATGTTTATCAAACAGCTCATTTAAGATCGTACCTGATTCTGAGCTCTTGGTTAAGTCATCTTCCACGCTGACCCACAGTGGGTTCCTGCCCTGGCACCTGGTGCCAACAATCCTGACTGCCTTCTGCTTATTCTGGTCTACCACACGCCCAAACTGGTGATGGAGAGGAGTATTCAAGAGTTAGCACAGTGAAATTTTGGATTGGCTCAGTAGGTGACAGTATTTCAGACTATTCTTACCTTCACAGGTTTCTTTGTCTGGAAGTTCATGTCTTCAATAGCTCGAATCAGAAGTCGCTGTGCCCTGTCACATCAGAAAATCATTACCATTTTCAGTTTAAAGCACTGTGAGTTATGATTTCCTTTCACTTTCAATTATTCTGATGATTCTGACTCCCTACCTGCTGCTCACTGACAAGAAACTGAACTGATCGTGCATCCTACATTTCTATGCTTCACATCAGTATTCCAACCTGTAATAGTTGGGTACGTTTCCACTCTGGAGGTTCAGCAGCTGACAGGGGTGAACTTGGCTGGCGTGCCATGAATCCTCAGTGCCAGCAGGTCGTGTGTTGGTTACATGAAGGATGTCGTTGCAGGACACAGCTAAAGTTCCGTTGGGGCCAACTGGGAGAGACATGTTGACACGTACGTAGAAGGAATCTCCGGATGATTTCTCACTGCTCTGCAGCTGCTGCAGCAGTGCCTCATAGTCTGAGCAGGCAGAGGAAAACACTGTAACTAAAGCCACTGGAAATTTGTATCTATACACAGACCTAAACCTTTTCTGCTTACAGGTTCCAGCACCAATCAAGAGAGAAAATATGCAGAATTGTTTTGCTTATAATGTGATAGAAATAGAAAATAAATCTGTAGAAAAACTGCTTAGATGTCCTCGGAATTCTGCGGCTGAGTGGGCCTGCTTATACAGAAAATACATAGGATTTAATAACGTAAAAAGTCTTCACTTGTGTAGTCATAGTAGCTCCACTGTCCATTCCAGGTTTAACAATATACAATGCTGTCACTACCTGCCCACGAGTCAAAGAAAGGTTTGACCCCCTGATGTATGGACACAGGATAGAGACATAAATATTTTAACTTTAATAGTCACTGAACATTTAATGAATCTGTCCACCACTGAATTCATAGCATTCAAGTATTTTATAAGTGTTAATTATATTATGAAATTTCCTGATTTGCAAAAGCTAATATCGATTTTTTCCCCCAGTATTCACAAATAATTCAGATCCGAAAATTCAAGTTAGATAATTTCAAAAAAATAGATTTAGGTTGCTCAGAATAGATTGGTCAAATTCAGGTCTAAAAGTTCAAGATAAAACAGTAGTAGAACATAAGTCAAATCTGATGATACGGCTGTGGTCGGACTCATCTTGGGCGGAGTTGAGTCAGCCCACAGTGATGAGATCCAGAGACTGACAGCATGGTGTTCAGTGAACAACTTGATACTGAATACAGCACAGACAAAAAGTGCAGTGCAAAACTGTCACCACTACACATAAACAGGGACCGTGTGGAGAGAGTTCCCATCTTCAAGTTCCTGGGAACTCTAATTTCTGATGACTTCTCCTGCTCTGCCATCTCCACAGACAAATTTGGCCTTGAAATTGCACATCAAGAAATCTGGAGTTTGCATGTTTTCTGTTGGTTTTCTCCTTGTTCTCCCACAGTCCAAAGACATGCAGGTCACATTAAGTAGTGACTCTAAATTGCCTCTAGGTGTGAATATGAGTGTGAATGGTTGTTTGTCTCTATGTGTCAGCCCTGCGATAGTATGGCGACCTGTCCAGGGTGTACCCTGCCTCTCGCCCAATGTCGGCTGGGATCCAGCAGTACCCCTGCGCCCCTGCAACAGGATAAGTGGTTTGGCATAATGAATGAATGAATGAATGAATGAATGAATGAAATGTAAAGTAATGTTACAATTTCAAAGCGGTAAATTCAGAACAAATCAATTCAGATAAATGGTTTTTAAAGTAAAATATTCCAATGCTATGTATAGGAGCCAAATATGTTATTGGGAGGTTTGCTTCTAACTGTGTAATTCACTGTGTGGGCATTGGGGGGGCGCTGTACTGTCACCTGGTGAGTTCAGGTATTTTAGGATGTGACCTCACTATGGTCATCAGGTGTTTGGCCCAGAAGGGCAAATGGTTTTTGACGGCAATGGCACAGACCGCTACAGTTTTGTTTGTATTGTACTGAGCGTCAAACAGAATAAATGTTACAGTGATGCAACGCAAGAAGCTTCAACTCTCATTCAACATTTGAATAACGAAGGTAGCGTAGCATGTCCAGCAACAGGCGCGTCAACCCTGGTCAAATACCTCAGTGGCTAGTAATAGACTTAGCTCCTTTAACAACACTATGAATTAAAAGTCTCTTATTTACTTCCATATTATGTTTCTGCAGTTGACTGGCGATTACTATCAGTCATTACTGTGTAGTGGTTTGAACCAAGTGACTGGCTAATGAACAACGCTGTCCTCTCCTAATAAAGAGGCAGCATTAAATGCAATAAAATGTAAAGTTGTAAAGAGTGTTTTGTTGATGAAGCAGTGTTAGCAGTGCAATACCTCATCCCTCTGCAGTCCACATGAAAGCATGAGACAACCATATGTGATGTCCTTGGATACATAAAAACTCTTTTATGAAGCTATTGAATTGTACTTTGTCTCTGTAACTAGTCTTGTGTACATTGAAGAATGCTGAATTCTTTAAACGCTGCAAAACAAAGGCACCCTCATAAACACAGCAGGGTGATCAGCATTATCCTGCTGCTATTTCAACGAGTCACAGTTACATGAGTTACCTCACGTGGCAGCTGGCCATCCCTTTAATCTCAACAGAGACAGTCTGCTTCCTGGGGGCCTCATGACAGCTGAAGCAGCCATAAACTTTTATTGCCAGGTAATGCCAAGATATAGTCGCTGTAATTTGTTATAATGCAGTCCTCCTTTACGACTGTGCTCTTGCATGTGTGTATGTGTTTATGTATGTGTGGCTCAGAGGTATAGCGGGTTGTCCACCAATGAGAAGATCAGAGGTTCGATCCCTGGCTCCTCCAGTCTGCATGTCGAAGTATCCTTGAGCAAGATACTGAACCCCAAGTTGCTCCCAATGGCTGTTCCATCAGTGCGTGAGTGTGTTAAAAAACAACAACAACTGAGTAGCAGGTGGCACCTTGTATGGGTAGCCTCGACCACCAGTGTATGAATGTGTGCGTGAATGGGTGAATGTGACTTGTAGTGTAAAAAGCGCTTTGAGTGGTGGGATGACTAGAAGGGTGCTATACAAATGCAGGTCCATTTAGGTCCATATATGTTTGTGTATGTGCGTGTTTCAAAGCTTTTTTTTCTGGAAATGGAAATAGCAAAGTGTAGAAATACATTCTTTTGTTACTGTTTCATGATCCTGGAATTACGGAGTCAACATAGTCCCACTGTCACTGTAGTGGAGTGAGGTAGTAAATTCATTCTGTGGGACATACCATCTTGTCTGGGCCGAAGGGAGAGGTGACAGAGGCCTTTAACCTGGCCAAGAGCCCACATAGCTTCCTCTAAAGTGGAATCTTCGAGCACCATCCTCAGAGCCTTCTGGTTCTGCTCATACTTCACCTGCACAACAACAGTATTATGCGATATGCCTAAACAGCAGGCATGATGATTAGAGTTAGTGTTCAGAAACACACTTAAACCCACCTCCACTATCTGTGACCCAGGACTGATGCCAACAGTATGGGCAACAGAACCTTCTGTCACCTGGTGCACAAACACTCCGGTCTTATTGCCTCCCACCACTGCCAGCTGGCTGAGCAACGCATCCCCCTGCAGGGAGATGCTGAGGACACGACCGTTGACACGAATTGCTTTTGGGCGAGAACGCATCAGGAAGGGAGGGACTGAGGTTCTTGACTGGCTGGAGAGAGAATGAAAGGATAGAATGCTTCGTCAAACATTCTGATTGTTTTAAGGGTCCTTGTTTCCTTTAATGGAGCATAAAAATGTTACTTCTGATTGAGCATAGAGAAATCCATATTTACAACTATACTGAGTGTGGTCTGTAGGTTGTATGGCAAGGATACATTTATAGTACTTATTGGATTTGAAATAAAGTTAATTTGGTGTGCTACTTTTTTAAATGTACATTATTACTTTAACCTCAGTCATTATTTCAGTTCAGATCCAGTGTGCTGGATCTGACAAGAAAACAAAGTTGCTTCCCCACTTTCCGCTATACATCCCTTATGTCTCACATCATAATTAACAACTGGATCTAAGTTAGTACATGGGTGAAAGGCAGGGTTGAGAGGAACAAATACGCTTTACTAAGTTATGTATTAAAAGTACAAAATATGAGTGACTGTATTCCGTTACCGCTACAGTCTAAATTGGTGGAATCTGAATACAGATAGTGTGCTTTAAAAATAGATGACTTGAGGAGATCACTTAATTAGTTTTGTTTTATTTACACTGTGTCCTCAATGAATGTAACACCAGCGAGTTTCTTTGCATGGTTATACCATTTTGAGGTGAACATTTGCCAAACGCCTTGTTTATATTTATTCCTGTTGCTTGCTGAAAGCTTCGCAAGGATGAGGAACAGCTTGTTCACTGGTCCAAAAAATCCTAGACTCTAAACCGAGAGCCCACTGTTCACTTTCTGTGTGAAAGTTGAGCCAAACCGTGATGTTTTTTCTAAACCTAACCACATGCTTTTGTTGCACAAGGAAATAAATGTAATGTGATGTAAATACGAGGTGTTTTACAGTTCATGAAGAAAAAGATTGTAAGGATCTACAAGCAGAATCTGTACATTTCCTGTAAAATGGAAGTTTATCTTGAAAAGACACAACGCATGTGACAAGATTTGTTCGTCCCAGAACGTCAACAACAGACGCAGGAGGATACCTAGTGCATCATATTTAGACGGGAAAGTCCTCCAACAGTGGCAAATGAGTTGGGAGAAGAAAGACTTAAGATGTGTTTTCTGGTTAAGAAGTATAAACGTAGAAAGACTCAAAGAACTAACATAATGATTAAATGTCACGCTGCTAGCTTGCTAACGTACGTCAGCACACGTAACGTATGCTAACGTTATATTACACAGTGTTTAATGATACAGTCTATTATCTCCCTATTACTCTAATCTTTCCTGTTTATCGCTCAAAAAAATGATTAATTTCTATATTAATATCGGTACTCATTTAAGATACCTTCATCAGCTACCGGAGGCCACTGTCTAACATCATCAATCCAGCTATTCATGATGCTGTCATTGTAGAGAGTCAGTTCACAATGACAGCATAATGAACTGATGACTGACACATGTCACCGCAGCAATGGCGCTGCCGCAAGATGGCGGCATACACAAATCGCTCGTCGAATTCGTCTATTAACAGATTTAAAAAAAAGTGTGTCCAGTGTGCCTGCAACATGGCAGAGGAGATGAATGGCCAGGCCACTATGGTGTTTTTTCTAGAATTGAAATATAAGACCTGGACAAACGAGCTCAGCAAGATGACTCTGAGGTATTTAGAATATACTACTTAGTTTGGGTAATCATTACATATTATTTCATTATTATATAATACATTTTAGGGCATGTATTCAGTAATCTGTAGTGGAATACGTTACTCTTCCAACACTGGCTAAGGGTGGGTATGTGTTTAATTAACCAATGCCGATTACTGATTATTTCGAGTATCATTATTATCCTCTTTTAAATGATGTATGCGGATGACGCCGTCATATATGCTCATGGAAAAACAGCTGCCGCAGTTTCAGAACAACTCTCAAAACATCTGGAAGCAATAGCCCGTTGGCTTGGAAATGCGTGTTTGTCGCTCAGTGTAAAAAAAACGGCATCCATTTGCGTTTCTTCTGGAAAATGGCCCACATCAACTGAACTAGACATTAAGATCAATGGACAGCCAATCAGTCAAGTTTCTGAGGTAAAATATTTAGGTCTAATGCTGGACACTCACTTGAAATTCGACAAACATGTTAAAAAAATGTGCAGAATGGTTAAAATTAATCTGTACACATTTAGACTAATCCGAGACTGTCTGACATTTGATGTAGCCAAAACATATATGCATTCAATGATCTTTTAACACCTCAGCTACTGTGTCACTTCCTGGTCTCAGGCCAGCCCATCAGTGATTAAACCTCTGGAGAGGCTATACAATCGTGCAATAAAAATTTTAGGCAAAAGGCCGATAAGATCGCACCACTGTCATGAATATGCTCAGCTTTGACAATTATGTTGCATTTGCAAATGCCGATCTTATACGCAGGTGTTTACATGGCCAGGCCCCTCAGGTTCTCAGTGACATGGTGCGACTGTTACAGGCCGTGGGACTGGTCACTAGGAATACCACTGCAGGGAACTGTAAAGTGTCGTACTGGAAGACTTCCTTTGGCCAGACATCCTTTGTCATAAAGGGAGCTGCCTATCCAACTTAAAACAGAACAAAACTGTCGACATTTTAAAATTAAACTGAAGGAATTTTTAAAAGGTAATCAGTTATGTAGTCATGTGTAGGGGTGGGTAGGTGGGTGGGGTGGGAGGTATACAATATGCATATGATGTGTATCTGTATGTAAATATGTGTATTTGTTGTTGTTGTGTTTGTGTATGTTGTTTTGTATTTTTTTTTTTAAAGGCCCTTCTAGGGACGGAAATTAGCAGTAGCTACAAATGCTGTGATACATTGCATTAGTTAATTGCTGTGCAGTTCTCTATGTATATGTATCTGTCCCTATCAAATAGACATGAAAAATGAAAAAAAAAAAAAAAATGGAAAAAATAAATGTATCACTACCTTAAACACAACCTTCAATGTACAGTACATTGCACACATTGGTACACACTGCTGTCTGTTCTACATGAAAATGCTCAGTAATATGAAACTCTTTATTTATAGCAATGCTGGTCCAGTGGACTGCCTCACCCATCACTGCTGGAGCCGTCAGAAGAGGAGAGCATGGGTGTCTGCTTGTCTTCACTCCCCACTAAACAAAAGAGGGGTTGTGTAAAGATTTGGCATCAAGGTTGTTTCCCCGGAAATAATGTGCATGTGAGTTAATGTGTCACTTTACAGCCCTGGCAAAGGCCCAACATTGAACAATAGCTAAAGAAAACCTTGCCACACAACAGCAAACCACCACCTCCTCCGACCAGAAACACAAACACACAGAAACTCACTGTAACAAAGAAAGTTCATATGTTTTCTACACATACCATTGGCGATAAACACAAAGTCATCAAATATAGATTCAGTCTCCGCTGTTTCCAAACTGCAAAAGAAAAAGAAGACAATAGCTATCACATTTATCTCTGTCTGTCACTTTCTTGCACAAACAAACATACACATACAATGACAGTGTTGAGTTTAGTAGCCAACCTTATAATAAGCTTACTTTAGTGTGAGATAATCATCTGTCATGCTACAACCCACAGACCGGTTTGGTGAGTAGGAATAATAACAGCCCTATGATGATGAGGCTGAATCTTTTGTCAGCACTCTGAATGTGGGAAAAAAGTTCTCCTGAGTAGAAATACAAGAATTGTGGAATGTGAGTCTGTAGAAAGTCTATTCACGATGTGCTTTCACTGGGGTTTGTCTTGCTCCTCAACACCCTCTGCTTGCACCTTTCATGTTTGCTGTAATTTACTCTTGATCACACTTATGTCCATCTGTCTTGGCATCATTAGATCCTAGTTAAGCCCCTCTTATTGCTGTAAATTGATAATCCAGCTGGATCCTGTTGTTAACAGAAAGGAATGCAGGGGTCAATAACACCTTCAAGTCAGCCCTCCTGCTGGGTTTGCTGCCAGCAGCCCTGTCAATTGAAACTAATAATAAACTCTCCAAAAAACACAACACAACACAAACACACAATGACATATACTGAAGATAAAGGTGGAATCACACACACCTGCTGGCTGCATACAGAGTATCCACCCTTCTGCGGAGAGACTCTGGACTGGGGGGCTCTGCATTTCGGGATCGGACACTACTTGCTGCACCATCTTCACACTGTGCAAATACACACAATTACAAATGTAATACATGAGTAATAATAATAATAATAACTTTATTTGTATAGCACCTTTCAAAACCAAAGTTACAAAGTGCTTTACAATAAAAACAAAAACAATAAAAACAATTAAACAAATAAAAACAAATAAAAGATCCCAAACATCAAAACACATATGAAAATAGATTAAAATAACAATACCAAGGAATTAAGAAAAAGCCATACGATAAAAGTGAGTCTTAAGAAATGATTTAACAGAGGACAGTGAATTTGCCTGCCTGAGATCTCCAGGCAGGGAGTTCCACAGCTTAGGGGCCCGAGTGGCAAAAGCTCGGTCACCTTTAGTGAGTAAATATGAATTCTATGCTGTATAAAAAAGTATAGTGATAATTATTTTTTAAAGTAGGTAAAACAATCGGTCAAAAATATCTTGACTGTTAGAAGTGGACATGAAATACAGGAGGTAGGTATTATATGAAATTTTTGATACAGGAGCCAATATGATACCTAAGCTTTAGTATCGATACCAAAATTGACTTGAGAAATACTTTTTAAAAACAGCACTCTTTTTCATTGCATTTGCATATAATATATACAGTACAGGCCAAAAGTTTGGACACACTTTCTCATTCAATGAGTTTTCTTTATTTTCATGACTATTTACATTGTAGATTCTCACTGAAGGCATCAAAACTATGAATGAACACATGTGGAGTTATGTACTTAACAAAAAAAGGTGAAATAACTGAAAACATGTTTTATATTCTAGTTTCTTCAAAATAGCCACCCTTTGCTCTGATTACTGCTTTGCACACTCTTGGCATTCTCTCCATGAGCTTCAAGAGGTAGTCACCTGAAATGGTTTCCACCGCACAGGTGTGCCTTATCAGGGTTAATTAGTGGAATTTCTTGCTTTATCAATGGGGTTGGGACCATCAGTTGTGTTGTGCAGAAGTCAGGTTAATACACAGCCGACAGCCCTATTGGACAACTGTTAAAATTCATATTATGGCAAGAACCAATCAGCTAACTAAAGAAAAACGAGTGGCCATCATTACTTTAAGAAATGAAGGTCAGTCAGTCCGGAAAATTGTAGGTCTAATGTCCATTCCTTGTGTTTCTTGGCCCAAACAAATCTCTTCTGCTTGTTGCCTCTCCTTAGCAGTGGTTTCCTAGCAGCTATTTGACCATGAAGGCCTGATTAGCGCAGTCTCCTCTTAACAGTTGTTCTAGAGATGGGTCTGCTGCTAGAACTCTGTGTGGCATTCATCTGGTCTCTGATCTGAGCTGCTGTTAACTTGCGATTTCTGAGGCTGGTGACTTGGATGAACTTATCCTCAGAAGCAGAGGTGACTCTTGGTCTTCCTTTCCTGGGTCGGTCCTCATGTGTGCCAGTTTCGTTGTAGCGCTTGATGGTTTTTGCGACTCCACTTGGGGACACATTTAAAGTTTTTGCAATTTTCCGGACTGACTGACCTTCATTTCTTAAAGTAATGATGGCCACTCGTTTTTCTTTAGTTAGCTGATTGGTTCTTGCCATAATATGAATTTTAACAGTTGTCCAATAGGGCTGTCGGCTGTGTATTAACCTGACTTCTGCACAACACAACTGATGGTCCCAACCCCATTGATAAAGCAAGAAATTCCACTAATTAACCCTGATAAGGCACACCTGTGAAGTGGAAACCATTTCAGGTGACTACCTCTTGAAGCTCATGGAGAGAATGCCAAGAGTGTGCAAAGCAGTAATCAGAGCAAAGGGTGGCTATTTTGAAGAAACTAGAATAGAAAACATGTTTTCAGTTATTTCACCTTTTTTTGTTAAGTACATAACTCCACATGTGTTCATTCATAGTTTTGATGCCTTCAGTGAGAATCTACAATGTAAATAGTCATGAAAATAAAGAAAACGCATTGAATGAGAAGGTGTGTCCAAACTTTTGGCCTGTACTGTATATGTATATATATATATATATATATATATATATATATATAATTCAAAAGGATCAGGCTAGCTTTATTCAGTATTTTTCTTATTGTCAACAAATCCCACAAATAGACCAAAGCCAACCATGTGTTTGTTTGTCTCCAAATAGTTTCTGACTTCCCTAAAGACCCTGACACATCAAGCCCAGCGGTTCGTCAGCACTGGGTCATTGGTGAGTGTCTGTTGCCCTAGTTGGTGTGGTGTGTCCCACACTGTTGGCCATTGTCAGCCCTTGTCAACTTTTTTCCAACCAATTCATCATATTGAATTGGCATCACAGACGGTGAAGCCTATCAATGAATGAAATCACTCTGATTGGCAGTTAAGTTCAGTGCACAAGAAGAGAAACAGAAGTGAGGAAAGTGAACAAAGAGCTACAGTCAGGAGTGAGTGAGATCAAAACAAACTTGTCAGTGTGGTAAGATTATTTTTCGCTAGCCACTGAGCTATTTAGCAGAAACGTCTCCTGATGGTTTACGTGATTGTTCACTGATGCATGGTAAATATACTCTGTTCTATCAACAATGAATTTATTAATGTGCTAACTGACTAACTGGTGTAAAGTCTACCGATTACCCTTTTTGAATGATGATTACAGAGTATCGCTGTCTGCTGGTGTGGAGAGTTATCTCCTCTCACACAGGCACAGAATGTACATGCTGCGCTGAGATATCGGATTTACGAGAACGAGATGGATGCACGTATGACCACCAATATATAATCAGTTCATTGCTAAATCCAAGTCAACGTTTGTGCCAAATCTGAAAAAAAAAAAAAAAAAAATTCCTGAAGGCGTTCATGAGAATGGGATGGATGGACGGATGGATGGACCGACAGATGATTGGGCGGACATACAACCTGAAAACATAATGCCTTATTCCAGCCAGCTTTATTTTTCAACACAAGCAGCTGTACAAGAACTTTAACAGAAAATAAAACAGTTTAGATCAAGAAATATGTTATCAAGGATTAAGTGAACAAGACAGAGAATCAGACCAAGCATTTGATGCCATCTTTTGACACTTCGTCAGTGTTCAAAAGGACTGTGTAATACCCTGCCCTGGTAAAATAATAGCATCTGATCTCACACAAACTCACCTCTGCATTACAAGAAATCTGTGACATGGGATTGACTGCATCCATGCGGCGAAGTCTACGTCTGGTGGGGATTCTGGATGAGGCTAGTGAAGACTCTTCATATCCTGATCCCGGGCTCTCGCAGTCCTCGCTCATCTCCTTTGACAAAACACAGGGCACTGCATTAGCATTATTATTTCTGTTTATGTTCAGTTTATGTACAGTATGTGCTGATATATGCTTGTGTGAGGAATTACATCACAACTTTGCTGTTCTCTGGAGCTGCGTTTGGTCTGCAGGCTGAAGACCAGCTCTTGGAGCTCCACTAGCTGACACCTCAGGGTGTCCTTCTCAGCCAGGATGCGGGCAATCATGGCCTGAGCCTCGTCTCTTGACAGGTATGCCTAGAAGCACATTTATCATTCATATTTTACACAGAATGGACTGTGCATAGGCACATCCTGTTTTTCTTCTTCATGCAGATAAACACTCTCAGGCCAAGTTTATGCCTCATGTAGAAATCACAATGTCATGATAACCACAGTGGCTCCACTCGTCACACATCATCTTTAACTCAAAACATAGATATGCACATGTCCTAGTCAAGGATTGTTTGAATGAAGAACTGTGTGTCAGCTTTGCTGCCACAAAGATGTAAGGAATGCAGGATGTTGTCAGTATGGTGTCTCTGGCTGGTAGCTTTCCATCATTTGACACATTCTTGTGAACACAACTCAGGAACAATAGCTACATGAAAGAAATGTATTCTCATAACAAACATCACAAATTAACTGATGCAATAGCAAAATTGCTGGATAAACAATATATCCAGTGAAAAGTGGTAGCGTTGTATTTGATGCTGCTGTTGTTGCACTTGGTCGGTGGCCCATCTGCATCAGACATTGACGCACAGAGACACCCTTTAGCAGCGGTATGAGCAAGCAGCAACCTCCAGGGCTGAAAATTGATGCCAACATGAAAGTGCCAAAAACTGTAGTTCTTTGAATGGCCACCTTCAGGCTGGCTCCAGCAGCCAGTCAATCCCCATAGAACCCCATGTTAAAATGTCCAACTTTAGAACATAAATAAACATGTTTACCTGCCTGGTACAAAAAAATTTAAAAAATTTAAAAAAAAAAAAAATCTACATTTCCCATTTGCAGTACTATATTTGGCAGTATGGCTCTGTTCTGGGGCACTCTGCCTTTCCTAGGCCCATGCAGAAAGCCTTAGGCAGAGAGAGCACACCACTCTGCCCTTCCATGCGCCTACATGGAAAGCCTAAGGCAGGGAGAGCAGCAGCAAAGACATCAATGACAATGTTAAGTCAGGCACAACATATAAAGGAGGAGCTGGGGATGGAGGCGGGTTGCAAAGTGGCTTGCAGAGGAAGTAGCAACATTAGGTAGGCTAAAGCAGTTTAAAAAGGGTGCCCTGAATGCAATTTGCCAATTGGTTGCATAGAAAGGAATCATGTGATCTACCAGCTGACTCCCTTCCATCAGTCAGCTGCTCCATCAGTTGACTGGGCTGCTTGAGATCAGCTGATATAGCTGGGATGTGAGCTGAGCTTTACATCCTACCCTGCCTGAACTAACGCTATGCTCAGTTTTTGGTCTCTATAGCTAATTTCCCTGTTCATGACAACTGTACGGGGGGTGAATTTCTTTATAACTCACCTGTTAACATTTTGTTTAGGCTTAGAGTTACACATAATTAAGGACAGACAGCTTTGAGTGACAGGCTGTCTGCTGGTAGTGTCCTTGGCCTCTCAGTCAGATCCACTCCTGACTCCTCCATAGCGCAAGCCTCTCACCCAAATATGGTCCCTTCTGGCTCCAATGAACCAAGATAGCAACCGCTTAAATGCCAAACTCAAGACTTCAAAATGAAAGTCCACAAATCAATGTGTGATGTCACAGTCGCTATGTCTATTATTTTTACACTTTGAGGGTATGAGATGCTCTGGGCAAAAGCATTTGCTGATGCTCAGGCAACTACCGTGGTGCAGAATAAAGAGTTAGAAAGTCTGCATCGGGTGGGAAGGAGGGGAGGTGGATGGATACTATGCTAGTGATGTATGTCACATTATGTTACATTACATTGGTAACAAGTGTAATTTAGGCGAAACCATGATGTTTTTTTCTTAACCTAACCACATGATTTTGTTGCCAAAACCTAAGGATACGTTTTTATCTTACATTGTAAGTTTATTTTGAAAAGACTGTCGCATTTAATTAGCAAAAACTGTACATTTCCTGTGAAAACAGAAGTTTATTTTGAATGGAGACAATTCATGTAATGAACGTAAATTTACACCCGTGCCAGAACATCCAAAACTAACACAGTAGGAGTACCTAGTGAGTCATATTTTGACATGATGGACCACTGACCAAGCGTCGGTCAGTTGGGAGTGAGAATGCATTGTCTGAATTTGAAAGAGAGTTAGAGAGAGAGAGGGGTGGCTGTCTCTCTCTCAAGTCACCTCTATACTCTTTGTGTCTGTGGTGCAGAAGTACAGTCTGTAGTTTGGGTAACAGCACTTGAGCTAGCAAAATCTGCTGGTGGGAGGTGAGCTGTGAGGTCTGGGTGCTGGTAAGGAGGAGTGAAGTTTAACATAGTTCATTTAAACATAGGAACCACATTGTTGTGATACAGAGCAGGTTGAAAATCCCTTTAACTCTTAACTCCATATATATTTACACTTTAATCCAAAATGATGAATAAAATAGAACAATAAACAATAAACAATAAACAATAACATTTCTAGTGTTGGTTTTCTTGTTTTGAAATGAATGAAGTTGGATTTTCCAGTCAACTACTGGAGTTTTCTGCCAGCCCTCTTTTTTTTTTATTTCTTTCTTTTGATTAAAGAGTGAACACAAGGAATGCCAACCCTACAATCACATCCAGATCCAGCGTATCACACCTCATACAGCAATCATGATCTACTAATCACAGCCCGGAGCTGTCAAATATGATCACAGTGTTGTGTTCTTGGTTACGGCACAGCTCCAGAGGAGCAGCTGGCAGCTATGTGACCACCTGACAGTTGTTAGGGTGTGGGTGGATTGTTCATTTCATTCGTCTTGGAGGAAAAGCCTCAGTGATGTTTGGAAAGGTAATTAGAAGAAACTGGCTTGAAGATTAATCATTGCTGCATGGCATCCACAGGTGTAATCAAAACACCATGTACACCATGTACTGCTCTGTGACAAAAATCCTAGTATTTCCAGTATAGGAGAACTTAATCAATGTCCCATATCAAAGAGACATAAATAACTACACACCTACACACACACAACAGGGAGTTACCGACAGTAGGAGCCAAGAGAGAGCTGACTGATATTTGATCCTCTCCATAGCAGCACTGCTGACACCTGACTACTTGACATTTCAACATGAAAAACAAACAATATGATGTTATGGAAGATCATTTCCAAGCCAGCCATAAAAATAGCACCTAAAACATTAAGTACTGCTTGGAAAACTGAATTAATGTTTAGGGAGGAGGGGAAAGTATGGTGAGATCGTTCCCTTACTTGGTCTCTCTCTGCCTGCAACTCTTTCATCTGGTTCTGGATCACTGTGTTCTTCTGCTGGTGCATGTTACAGTCCAGGGTCAGCTGTTGCACCTGGAGGCTCAGGCTCTCCTTCTGATCCAAGAGCTGAATGCAAAGACACACACACATTACACCAATGTGCCCTCAAGTGTGTTAGGCATATATTAAAGATGCACAGGATTTGATAAGCGAGTCAATGCAGTGCAGAGTTACACATGAACATAGATAGTGTGATTTATAGTATTTACATTTACATATTTTCCTCACTTTTTATTGTATTACTGTTAGTTTGCTTTAAAGGTCCAGTGTGTTGGATTTAGGGGGATACATTGGAATATAATATTTAAGTATATTTTCTTTTGTGTATAATCACCTCAAAATAAGAATCACTGTGTTTTCACCGTCTCAGAATGAGCCGTTTATATCCACATAGGGAGCAGGTCCTTGTTTATGGAGGTTGCCAAAACAGACAAAAAACAAACGCTGGCTCTAGATAGGGCCATACATTTTTTTGTGTCAGCCACTGTAGTTAGAAGCCCCTCCATAATGAGCAGCGTTGGAAAAACCCTGATTTTTTTTATTTTTTATATGAAACTGCTTTATTCAGTGTTTCTACCAATTTAAATCACCGGATCTGTTTGTTCTGGCGAGGAAGAGACCTCTGCAAATAATCTGGCTCCTGGTAAAAACCTCCTGAACATCTTGATCTTATGTTATCAGAAAATATCCTTTGACTTTCGTGTTATAAAATGTTATTATGCAATACATACTTTTTAAGTGCTAAACAGACTCAGAAAAATAACTTTAATTAGCATTTTTCCTCTGTCCAGAGGCTGTTAAATACGTCATGGCACTGAGCAGCAGTGGTATGATCAACATGGTCCATTCCAAAAATAGATGTTCCACTGAATTTGTATGACACAATGACAAAGCAAAACACACACACACCCCTTTCTTTTCTGCGAGCAGCTGTTCGTTCTCCTCTCTGTAACACCTGAGCTGCTCTGCCAGCTCCACCTGGCTGTCTATGGCCTCAGCCAGGTCCTGGGCCAGGATGTCCTGACGAGCCTGGCAGAGACACAGCAGCAGCAACAGCAGATGAAATATCAACATGAAGACACAAGTGACTATTGACTCTGTCTAAAGATCATGTGTAAAAGCTGGCAATACAGTATTCTACATAAAGCAGCTAAAAACACAGAATGATAAATTGATTATTCTCACTGGGTCAAGTTTTTCTGCCTTCACCAGCTGGCAGCGCAGACTCCTGACTTCTTCTTGCAGTTGTGGATTCTCAGAAACACATCTCAGCGAGCGCCGCTTCTGGAACTCATTCTCCGTTTGTGCCTTCTGCAGCTCAGTCTGCAGCTGATACATCTGTAACCACACAAGAATAACAATGCTAACAGAGCTGCAGCTGTGATTATTTCCACTATGTTTTTTTTTAAATCAACCGATTAATACATTTTTGTCAGTTGTTTTATCTGACTGTCTCACAGTCTCACAATCCCTGAAGGTATTCAATGTACAATTACATACAGGCCTGTACATTTTCATCAACAAAATTTTTAAACTTTTCCATACTGTACCCACGATGTAGGCTCTGCATAGAAGCGTACCCTACACCAGTGGTTCCAACTGGTGGGTTGTGGTCCAAAAGTAGGTTGCGGGTCCATTCTGAATGGACTGCAAGTGACATGCAAACGTGTCAACCTTGTAAAAAACCCACCTTATTTTGAAGTTGAGTGAATTTCCTACAGAGCTTTTATTTTTAAGTGCCGTTTCCTGCTGCAGTGTGACTGACTAATGGACAACTACTTGACAGAGACAGCAATCCAGCTTAACCACATGGTCAACACAGTTATAAAGCTGAATACATTAAACTGTGTGGACCTTCAACTAATGACTAAGGAGAAATCTGGACCGCGTGGCTGGATATGTAACCACATGTCACAGTGACCTAGACCTCCTGATTTTTGTAAGCTGAAACCATTTCCCTCAGTGGAAACCAAGCTTTTATTTACTTATTTTTCACCGTTAAGAAACAATAAATTGTGAGGACAATAAAGCCCCCCAAAAATAGCATCTAAAGTCCTTTGTGTGATTTATATGAATGGAGAAAAACAAGCCAGCCGCTAATTTATACAATGTAAAATGCTAAAGGTTTATGCTAATAATGTTAGCATGTTGATTTGTGGGGAAAACTTGTCTAGTATAGGACAGTTGTTTTATGAATCTTGTGAATTGTTATTGAGCTGAATTTCATAACGTCACCTCTGTTAAATGTTGCTGGTGTTCCTGGCTTCATACAAGGAAGAAGGAAGGAGGAAAACTCCACTAGCAGCCAGGCTAACTTATATAGTTTAAAATGCCATAGGCTTGTGCTAATAACATTAGCATGTTGTGTTTGTGGGGAAGATGCGTCCGCAAAATACAAGTGTTCTGTCTGTGAATCTTGTGAGTTTAATTGGAGCTAATTTGTATAGTGTTTGAAATTGTTTGTTCTGTTTTTCCATGTGTATTACGTATGTTTTGTATCATCAAACTTTACGTAATTTCACAAAAACTCCACTCTCGACTAGTGTTTTGGAGGTGTGGAGAAAATTATTTTATGTGTTCCTGAGTTTTGTAAAGTGAGGAACAGACTTAAGTTAGCATCACTGACCTGCAGGTTGAGGTCATGGAGGCGCATGTTCACGGCTGATTTCTCCTCGATGGCTGCTGTGTAGCGCATATACAAGTCACACTTCTCATCCTTTAGCTTGGTGACGTCATGTTGCAAAGAACACAGCTGTATCCGCATGCGTTCATTCTCTGACTGAAGGCACCTGGACTTCTCCTCTAGCTCCATTATCTGCCTAATCTCCATCTCCAGGGAGGCACAGCGTGCACTCTTCCTGCTGGCCTCGCAACGCGCCTCCTGGAGCTCCTTCTGCATCCCTGTTACTGCTCTGACCAGATACTCTGTCAGCTCTGAGTACTTTATCAGGCCTGCAAGGAGACCAACGCAAGTCAGACATAAAGCAAGTGAAACAAAAATATTCCATTAAAATGCACTTATAACCACTGACCACTGAATCTTGAAGGTTCAGTGCTGGGTTTGCGTCCGGTCACTTGGGTGTACAGGGTGGGGTAGTGAATCATCAGGCTCTCTAGTAAGGCCACAGCTCCATTCCTCCCCTGGGTCCTCAGCAGGTCCAGCATATAGCCTGAAAATGGTAGAGAATAATGTGGTGTTGTCAAACTCCAACCCTAACTTTCGAATCAGCAGATTTTATCTAAAGAGAAGTGTTTCCTTGATTCTTATTTAAGCACTGCATTTTCATTCCTCCTCAGAGAGAAAGCAAGCTAACATTAGCTCTGTACAATAATCAATGTCAAAAATTTGAAAAGAAATTTAATTAGCAGGCCCATATACTCTCAAACCCTCAGGCAGCATAATGTTAGTTTTACTAATAAATATTTGTTCTTAGTAGGCTACTGAAGCATTTCCTCTGTCACTTGGCAGTACAAACAGCAGTCAGTGTAAACAGATTAGGTGCAGTAAAAGAGGACAAAGCAAAATCCACTTGTCCTCTACAAACTGAGGCAGCCCCATGGACAGGCTTTTAACTTTGTGTAAAATCCAAGACACAACAAGTCAGGTCAGAAATCTCACTTGTTCTCATGCTGCGGTTGGTGAGATTGTGGCAGGACACAATCTCATCCTCATCCATCTCACTGAGCACCCTGGCCTGCCTCAGGTACGGGATCAAGATGCATGGCCGCACCCCCAAGGAGATCCGGTGGCGGTTGTCATTAATCAATTCCCAAAGTTCCTCCTCACCCATCTCTCCCAGGTCTCGACCCTCAGAAACACAGTCCCCTGCCATCCTGAGTGTGTTATGTGCTGAGACGATGGGCACGGCCAAAGCAAACACAGTAAACACACACCCTTAGCTGCAAAGACACTAGTTGCAGGCTCATTCCAGGCAGCAGACTGAGTGGAGACAGCAGAAAAAGCAGTATAAAAGGGCCAGGCTTTCCACGCCCTGTGGGTGTTTGTGTCAGAGCGTGTGTGTGTTGATGTGTGAGCATGCAGGAAAACCTGTAAGACAAGACCTCTGTGATGCAGTGCAACAAGGGACTGACTCTGTGAATGTGGGCACAAACAAACAATGGTGCAAATAGAACTGAAGCACAAGCTCTTACAAACAACTACATTTCACACACACACACAAAAAAAAGACATCAGTCATCTGAGCCACATGTCTCCTCCATTCACACTCTTGGTGGCCTTGTAACATTTGTTTGCTTTCAACAGCTAAATCAATATCTAATCACATCATAAACCTCTGCCTCATTCTATCAATGAGTGAAGCCAGATGTGTTTGTTGAATGGAGTCAAGCCGCAGCCCATGGCGTGAATGCACAAAGCTTCCCGCTAAACACAGAAACATTAGATGACATGCGAGTTCACCTTAATAATTCCTAATCACAGTAAAGTAAACACACACACCACAGTGCTGACAGAAGAGGAGCAAACACAGAGCTACGAAGTGCAAAGTCCTCTGTTAAAGAAGGAAATAAGGTTGGCGGCATATCTGGCGCTGGCTGTCAGCACAAGGTCAAAGGCTTTCTCATATTGTTGGCTAACTTACCGCCTTTGTGAGTGAACTTACTGTTGACTGTACTGTAAAGGGTAAATGCAAACAAATAGAAGCTATCAAGGCAAACGACTGTAAATGATATACTGGCACAAAGACTCTGCAGGATGCAGGAAATCTCACAGCTACAGGAGATACAGAGAGTAAAGAAAAAGAACAAAAATGAAAAAAAAAAAAGATTTTAAACAACATTTGTGTAGAGCTTAAGCAATCAAAGGACACAAAGTTGTCTCACAGTCACAGAGCTATATGCATTTCCAACTAATGATGTGGTTCAAGATCAAAGGAAGTTATTAAAAGGAATTAAGGTGTGTGTGCCAGTAAACTGCGCTAATGGTGACCAAGAAAATGAAATGGAAGTCGTCCAATGGACAACACTAATGCACAATCTCACTGCACCTTGACAAATGACGGATTTTCAGCTTATAAAACTTACAGACACGACTTGCCTGCTCAGCACTGCAGTTTACGTTCTACCACATTGTTATCAGCAACTAAGAGGATTAACAAAGTATCACCCCCACATCACATCTACAAATCTCAAAACTGTAGATTCTGTCACCAGCACTGAGCCTCATTAATATAGTGAGGGCATCTTAGCCATACAGCATTATGATAATATAAGGAAAATAGAACAACATTAAAAAAGGTAGAATAACAGAAGTTCTATCCTGAAAAAATGTGTTACATTCTCACATATTATGCTGCAGAACAAGTAGAAAATAAGAAATTGGTAATTACACTGGAAGGTCACTGATCACATAATGAATTAACATGTGCACTCAGTAGAGTGTAGATCTCCATACAATTCTTGTGATGTCACCAGACTTTACGCAGCGTGTTTCAGAAGCGTCCCAGAAGCTGATAAAAATACACGCCTCGTTTATTTTGACAGAGACAAAGCACCTTGCACAGAGCAGATTGAATTTTCCTGCAAACTGTCACTGTATGTGAAACACCGATACAATATAATTATGAAGATGACTGTAGTTTTAATAACTGAAACACAGCCAGATATCTGTGATGATATCTGTCGTTTATGACTTGACTTTGAACGGTATTAACTTGGTCTGTAGGCTACAGCACATAGGAAATAACAATAAACACAAATAAAATAGACTAAAAAAGAAACAAATTAACTACATAGCCCACCTACTTACTTGTGATAGAAGCACAAATATCAAGGAAAAATAACCAAATCAACTCTGACACAGGCAGAGAGGCTCAGAGGAAAGGAAAATTTAAAATAAGATCTCTTCATTGTCCAGCATATTTCTTCAAGACATAACTGAGCTTGTTATAACATCAGTGAGAGATTTTGACCATTTCCTTATACTTCCTAGATTCAGCTCCTGACTGATCCTAATTTGCAGTCTTAAAATGCTCATTTTCTGTCATCTTTATTTGTCTGAGACAATTTTATAGATTTGTCTCTATGATCAACTGCAGGTATTTTGTATTTTGGCCTCAGAGTTGAGAAACCTCTGAGCACAGCAAAAGAACTCCTGCTGATTTATTCTTTTGCTCCTTATTTCTCCAACGTGGGTGGGGGGACAGATCAGAATTCTGCTGATATGTCCTCTGTGCCATACATCCCTGGAGGATCTTTGTAATAATTGGCTATTGCGGCGTGAATCAGTTGCTGAAGTTCAGATTTTTCAACTCTCGGGAATAAGCATGGCCGGAATTTGCGTCTAATCGCATTTCTACATTGACTTTACATGTAATTCACATGTGCAAATTGTTTTATTCGCGCCTGGTGTGAACGTAACGGGAACTATTTCATATTGTAACGTGCCTGACTGTAGTGGATCTTATCTTATTGGGTATGGAATTAATCTGCAGGTGCTCCAGTTCAACTTGAGACCAAACTTTTCTATGGGTGTCATAATGAAGGCCAAAATCTGACCTGCAACAGACAGCAAGGCTTGTTGGAGTGGTTGGAGTGAGGAGTTGGCAGTCAACAAGGGTATGAAACAGTCAATAAAACAGGTTGGTGGTTGTTAACCAGGAGAGGTCATTAGGCATACAGTCACCAACATGCACACAAAACATTAGACCGATTGGTCCAGTATTTTGCCAGATAAATTGCAGACAGACAGACACACTCACTCTCGCATGCACAAACACAACCAAACGCATGATCCCCTCAAGGCTTATCTGTATTCAACACATAATATACTACTTGGAATTTCCCACAATGAAGTCTTTAACAGAGTGATAAGATGATGAAAAATGAGTCTTTACTTTGCATATAGATGAGAACAACTTCTAAAAAGTGCCTGTCATTAATAGTAGTGTATGAAACTATTTATGGGATCTTTTTTAAGGGAATACTACGCCCATTTTCAATTTCATACATGCTATTCCTATGGTCTAAAACTGTCCAAAAATGTTAGTGCACATAAACAACTCTGCTAAATCTCACAACTAGAGAGCTAAAACTCAAACTTGTGATATCATCACATTTAAGTCTGGTACTGCTTAACTGAGAGCACCCATGGGGATGTTCTCTTTTCAGTTTCAAAACTGAGAACACTTAGGTGTGTAAAAAAAAAAAAAAAATTGGGTCCACAAAATCAGACTTCCATTCATTGTCTATGGAGCAGCTCCAAACTTGATACCCTGTAACATCACAGGTTTGAGACTTACTTCAATATTGATTGAACTTTCCCAGGCCATGAAAATATTATATAATAATGGAATTCTTAATTGAAGTGGTGTTCCCCTCTAAGGTGCTGTTAACCTAGAAGTACAAGAATGTTTTGTGTCACCGTACCACAGAAGAGTAAATCTCCTGCTTAGTAGTTTAGATCAGATGTCATCTGCCATACCCACACAGTAAGCATGGGTTTGGTGTGTCAGGTTAGATATTGAGGTGAGATGAGTGTGAGAAGGAATTTCAGTAAGCGGACATTGAGTTCTTTGTATTAGCTGCCTGTTTTGCTATACTCCAGGGTCTGTGCATGCATGTTGCCAGTTCTAGTGACTGTAAGGTGCCTCTGGGTGCTATGGAAAGTCCGAACAGACACAGTATAGGATGAAGCTCATAGGGAGCATGCAGTGAGGAGCTGGTTCCACAGCATTGCAATGGACAAGGCTTGGTGATAACACTTGCAGGAGAGTCCCATTTGTAAGTGCTGAAATAGCTTGACGTCACTGTTGTGTAAAGCAGATGTGTTGCCTTTAAGGACGGCCTGCATCTGCTTGGGCCATCTCTGTTGAACTGTCAGTTACTGAACAAGTGGCACATGTTGTTTATGCTTGACAATGCAGGTCTGCTGTTAAATGTGTTGCCATAGCGCTGGTCTATTGTTAACAGACTATGCAGTATGAAGACACACCCATGGTAAATGTGCAGGTGCTGTGTTTCATGTTAAACAGATGAATCACAGATGAATAACACTATAGCAATTACAATATATTACAGTTACTGAACACAAAAACATCGCCCTACCTAGTCAGTTAAAGCTTACACATGTTTAAAACCAAATCTATTAGATTCCAATTATCTTGAAAACAAGTAATGTTTTTGTTTTGTCTTGCATCATCAATCCAGCGCACCCTTTCCTTTACATTGGTGTGCTCTGTGTTGCCAACTTTATGCCTTTCTCGCAATATTTAGTGACTTTTCAGACTGTGCGACTTCATTTCTGAAAAGCAACCAATGACAAATTTGGCAACTTATTGAGAGCACGTGAGAGAGAGTAAGTGACAGTCACAGTCCATGACGCTTCTGTCAGCAGTGGGGTCTCTCCCTCGCCTCCTCCTCCTGTTCATATGTATTTATTTTATATTTTATTTATTCATTTTATTATTTATCTATTTATTATGTTTATTATATTATTCCATTTTTAAAAAACTTTTTAAAATTTGTTTTAGTTGACTTTCATTTAAAGTTCAAGAAAATCCACTGTTTAAATAAAAAAAAAAAAAAAAGTTCAGTAAATGCATGATGTTTCCAAAATCAGTAGGCGTGTTCAGTATTTGTAACCTCAATGACTATGACTTTTGCCAAAACTGAGCAGCCTTACTGTACAGGAAAAAAACTTTACCAAGGATCCATGGCCATGAGATGTAAGCTGTGGACCAAGGCAAGCTAGCTTAAAGCAACACTTAACCTTTCTGGAAATTTTACACTTTTCTTTGTTTAGGTTAAAATGCTATTAATAAGCTGATGGCACGCTTAAATGTAAGTACATTCCACCAGAGATAAAAACTCATAATTATACCATTCTCATATGGTTCTAAGAAAACTCCGACTGACCGAATGCAATGATTGACCGAGCATCCTGTCTGTCTTCCCAGGTCCATGTCATTGGTCCAACAGCCCATTGGTCCG